TATAAGCATTGTCCTGAAATGAATGTTAGCACATGGTTCATGAATTTCTTGAAAATACTTTTGTCCGAATGTGTGAAGCGTTCTCCCATTGACGTCAAATGTGTGACCACATGTGACCCAATTTGTCCAGATTTGTGTGGCCTGACTAGGGAAAGATTTGAAGAATTGTCAGCGTAGACGCAATGAGCGAAAGGGCCAGTTCCTGTGCTGTACTGTTCTGTGTTCTTGTTCTAAACATGTCAGGAAGCAGAAAGTAGGGGAGGGTTAACAACAGTGAGGCTACATCTCGAGTACTGTGTACAATTCTGGTCTCCCCAGAATTGAAAAAGGATCTAATGGCATTAGGAGCAGTTCAGAGAAGGTTCACTCAACTCATTCCTGGAATGGAAGGGAATTGTCTTCGGTGGAATGATTGAACTGGATCTATATTGATTGGAATTTAGATGTTGTGATCTTACTGAAATATATGAGATCCTGAGGGGGCTTTGAGACTTCTTTGAGAGGTGGCACAGTGGCTCAGTGGTTAGCACTGCTGCCTCACAGCGCCAGGGACCTGGGTTTGATTCCAGCCTCGGGTGTCTGTCTGTGTGGAGTTTGCACATTCTCCCCGTGTCTGTGTGGGTTTCCTCCCACAGTCCAAAGATGTGCAGGTTAGGGTGGATTGGCCACGCCAAATTGCCCCATAGTGTTAGGTTAGGTGGATTAGTCATGGGAAATGCAGGGCTACAGGAATAGGATGGGGGGTTGGGGGCAGGGGTAGGTCTGAGCAGGATGCTCTTGGGAAGGTTGGTATGGACTCAATGGGCCAAACAGCCTCCTCCTGCATTGTCGGGATTGACAGGGTGGATGCTGAAAGGATGTTTCCACTGGTGGGAGAGACTAGAGCAAGGGGACAGAGAAGATCATCAGTGTACTGCGGCAGAGGCTGGATCATTGAATAGATCCAAAGCCAAAGGGCTACGGGGCTGGGGGGCTGGGGGAACAGTCTAGGGTAATAATGGGGGGGTGCTGCTGAGGAGACAAGAGAGTGGAGTTGAGACCTCAACCCTCAATGATTCTATTGAAAGGTGCAACAGGCCTTGGAGGGCTGAATGGTCCACTCCTGCTTCCAATGTCCTAATGGGCAGAAAGTCTGGAAGTGCAGCAGCTCAGTAAAGTTCATGTGCTGGACAGGGGAATATAGCATCCTTATGATGTGGAAACAGGCCATTCAGCCCATTCAAGTCCACACCAACCCTCCAAACAGCATCTTAACCAGACACTTTCCCCTACAACCCTCTATTTCAAATGGTTAATCCACCCCAGCCTGGACACGATGGGGCAATTTAGCATGGCCAATCCACCCTAACCTGCACATCTTTGTATTGTGGGAGGAAACCAGAGCAAACCCGCACAGACACAGGGAGAGCATGCAAACTGTATGCTGACAGTCACCTGAGGGTGGAATCGAACCTGGCTCCCTGGCGCTGTGAGGTAGAAGTGCTAACCACTGAGCCACTGTCTATAGCCGAGGACTAAATGGGATTGAATGAAGCAGAGTTTGATGAGGGTTCCTCTTTGGCTCACGGTTTAGCAACGATTGCACAGGTTTCGAAAGCTGCACAGCTCTGCCCCCACCCGCTTCCTCTCTCCATGGCCCAGTTTGTGGATGTGCTGCCCAGCATGGTGCCAACCAGGTTCAATCTGTACTCTATCAGCAAGTCGACCTGGGGAGGTGGCGCAGGACATCCAACTCTCTGCACCGTGAGCACCGGAGTTATTTTTACAGGTCTATGGGAATGGGACAGGGGAAAGCGATAGACAAGAAATGGGACAGACTTAACAGGAACAAGTGATTTTGCATCCCCCACCCCCACGCCCATTACTCATTAATACCGCCTCCTTCTGGAAAGTGGACACATGTGCATGCAAGAATGTGTTGGGGGAAGGTGGTCAGACATTGGTGTGATGCCTCTCATTGTTGACCAGCCGACCTTCACTGTCAAGGCTTGCTGGACAGTATCGCATGTGTGGGCCCTAAGACCAAGTCCGGGATGTATATTGAAGGTGGAGCCGGAGAACTGACTGAAACACGCCAGAATGTCACGGGGCAGGGAAACAGACAGGAAAATGGAGTTGAGAACACAACCTGATCAGCCATTGAATGGAACAGCAGGCTCAAAGGGCTGAATGGCCTACTCCTACATTTTGCAGAGAATTGTACAGCACAGAACAAGTCCTTCAGCCCATCAGGTTCACACCGATGCAACCTACATTAACCCTGCAAATACAACAGAGAACTGCCAATGCTGGAAATCAGAAACAAAAACAGAAATTGCTGGAGAAACTCAGCAGCTTTGAAGAAGGGATGCAAAATGCTAACTCTGTTTCTCTGTCCAAAGATACTGCCAGACCACTGAGTTCTTTAAACTGCAAGACTACACCAGTCTCACATTTCAGCCCTTGGCCCATAGTCTTGAATGTTATGACACTTCAAGTGCTCGCCCAAGTGTTTTTAAAGGTTGTGAGGTTTCCCGCCTCAATTACCCTGCATTCCACACCACCACCACCATCCGGGTGAAAACACTTCCACAAATCCCCTCTAAACCTCCCGCCTTTCACTTTAAAATGACACCCCTTGTTATTGACCCTTTGACTAAGGGAATCAGCTACTTTCTTTCTGCCCTGTCCCTACCCCTCATAACCTTACACACCTCTATCACGTTCACCCTCAACCTTCTCTGCTCCAAAGAAACCGACTTGGGGAGGGGAATAGTCAAAGATCAATGGGATGGTTCACATTGTCGAACAGCTCACCCACACTCTGGTGCCAAAAGCACATCAGGGGTAGGGGATCCCAAAAATGGTGTGTGTGTGTGTGTCTATGTGAGTGTGTGTGTACGCGTGTCTATGTCTATGTGTGTGTGTGTTTTTGTGAGCGTGAGTCCGTCTCTAAGTGAGTTTGTGTCTATGTGAGTGTGTGTGTGTCTCTGTTTGTGTGTGTCTATGTGAGTGTGTGTCTATGTAAGTATGTGTGTGTTTATGTGAGTGTGTGTGTGTCTCTGTTTGTGTGTGTCTATGTGAGTGTGTGTCTATGTAAGTGTGTGTGTGTCTATGTGAGTGTATGTGTGTCTATCTGCGTGTGCGTGTACGCGTATCTACGTCCACATGTGTGTGTCTATGTGAGTGTGTGTGTCTATGTGAGTGTGTGTGTTTGTCTATGTGAGTGTATGTGTGTCCATGTGTGTGTGTTTGTGCATACGCGTGTCTATGTCTATGCGTGTGTCTATGTGAGTGTGTGTCCATGTGACTGTGTGTGTCAATGTATGTGTGTGTGTGTCTATGTGTGTCTGTGTCTGTGTGTCTGTCTATGTGAGTGTGTGTCCATGTGAGTGTGTCCATGTGAGTGTATGTGTGTGTCTACGTATGTGAATGTGTGTCTATATGTGTGAGTGTCCATGTGAGTGTGTGTGTGTCTATGTATGTAAGTGTGTGTCTATGAGTGTGTGTCCATGTGAGTGTGTGTGTGTGTCTATGTATGTGAGTGTGTCTATATGTGTGTGTGTGTGTGTGTCCATGTGAGTGTGTGTGTCTATGTATGTGAGTGTGTGTCTATATGTGTGTGTGTGTCCATGTGAGTGTGTGTGTGTCTATGTATGTGAGTGT